GAGCCGAACATGAACAGTTGAATGGACTTGGTTCTCAGTTGTCAAGGTCTTGTACAAATATGAGATTTCTACCTTTTTTTCCCCCTTTCCTGGTCAAATTAAGAACTATTCAGTCGACAATCACAGTTTCCCAGCATTGTTAAGAGAACAAAGGCAGATGCCTTTAATCTAAACAGCTGTTCGGTTTCTTTAAAACGGGAGGCATCACCTTGCTCAGATCCCGGAAGTAGGGATCTGTATGTTGTCCAAAGCAAACCAAAGTCTTCCCAAAATTCACTGGTAAACAGGATATTGAGTTACCTGACAGTGAAACTCCTGAACACAAACTGCTTCCTTTTCTGTAAGGCAAAGGGCTTGTCTTGCTACCTGAAAAGGAAGCTAATTTCATCGTCCAGTGTAACTAGGACTTGGTCTTCCTGCAGATTAATCTATGAATCCATGACATAGTGAAGACCCATCCTAGCCCCCAAAGGTCTGAAATTTGATTCACTTTTCATGCAAGTGAAGTGATGGGAATTTGGTATACAAATTGAGGGTTTGAAACTTTTTCTAGACAACGTCGTGCTCTGTTGCCCAGGCTGGAGGGCAGTGGTGCAAACAGCTCACTGCAGCCTCGACCTCCTGGGCTCAAGTGATCCTCTTGCCTCAGCCACCCAAGTAGCCGGGACCACAGGTACATGCCAGCACACCCAGCTAATTTTTTTTAATTCCTTTTTTTGTAGAGACAGGAGTCTCATTTTGTTGCCCAGGTTGGTCTCAAACTCCTGGACTCAAGTAATCTTCCTGCCTCGGCCTCCCAAAGTGTTGGGATTACAGACATGAGCCACCATGCCTGGCTGAATGTTAGAATCTCCTTTTTTTTTTGTTTTGTTTGAGATGGAGTCTTGGTCTGTCACCCGGGCTGGAGTGCAGTGGCGCGATCTCCGCTCACTGCAAGCTCCGCCTCCCGGGTTCATACCATTCTCCTGCCTCAGCCTCCGGAGTAGCTGGGACTACAGGCGCCCGCCACCACGCCCGGCTAATTTTTTATATTTTTGGTAGAGATGGGGTTTCATCGTGTTAGCCAGGATGGTCTCAATCTCCTGATCTCGTGATCCGCCCGCCTCGGCCTCCCAAAGTGCTGGGGTTTTTTTTTTTTTTTTTTTTTGGAGATGGAGCCTCACACTGTTGCCCAGCCTGGAGGCTGGAGCGCAATGGCACAATCTGAGCTCACTGCAACCTCTGCCTCCCGGGTTCAAGTGATTCTCCTGCCTCTGCTTCCCTAGTAGCTGGGATTACAGGCACCCACCACCATGCCCGGCTAATTTTTTGTATTTTTAGTAGAGATGGGGTTTCACTATGTTGTCCAGGCTGGTCTCGAACTCCTGACCTCGTGATCCACCCACCTCGGCCTCCCAAAGTGCTGGGATTACAGGCGTGAGCCACTGCGCCCGGACCTAGAAACTCTTAAACCCAAGTGCACGCAAACTGCAATCTAGGTCACCTCATTTGTGACTGGACTTACAGAGAGAGAAGAGAAAATGTTTTGCGAGAGTTTTGTTTTCCATAGAACCAAAAGGGTATCACAGGGAAGAAGTCAGCAGTGCAGCCAAATTAGATTATAATAATCTTTAAGGTCATGAGGCAACATCTTGCTCATCTTTGTGAACCCTCAAATTACAGCATAGCAAAGGCACACAGGTATTTGTTGAACAAATCGTAATATAAAGAGTTGCTATTTGCCTTTTGGATTTTATAAAAGAAGGATTGAGGGAGAGAATCAACAAGAACTACACCGGAATGAAGGCTATTGAATAAGTTATTCCCAACCTGTGAAGTCTGCATAACAATGAGTTTCTGGTCAAATTCAGTTGTCTCATGGGAATGACTTCAGATTTCCCGTTATTCTTCTCAGTAGTAGTGGTATAATTCTTTACAGTAGAAGCAACAGCTACCATTATTAGCACCTAACGTGCACCAGTTAGGCCATTTATGTACGTTTTTGCTAAACTTCACAGTAACAAGATGGACCATTTTACAGTTGCAGAAACTGAGGTTAAAGTTGCCAAAGGTCAGAGGATCCTGCCTACACTAATAGGGGCGGTTTCTTCACTGCCAGGCCTAGTAAAACAATCTCCAGTTGTTCAGCTTTATTACTTTAGTTTGCTGAGAACTTGATTAGAGGACACATGGTAATGGTTTTGGCAATCATTTAAGAGATCTGATGCTTTGAAGAAAGCAGTTTTTTTGAACAAGAAAACAAATTAAATAACCTTTTATCTTAAGCCATGTTGGGTGTTCTGCACAACAAAAAAAATGTGTTCTAGTTTTCAAGTTCCCCTGTAGTTTGGGCTGAATGCATCTTCTCAAGCCCCACACATCATACTAATATTTGTCCTGCACGACAAGGCAATTAATACTTGTCCTGCACAACAGTATGAGGCAACACGTAGACTGGCTAAGAGATGATCCTCATTCTTAAGGAGCGTGCAGGCTAGTTGGAGAGAAAAGATATACTCATTAAGCAATTTTAGAATATTTAAACGCTAAAGGCCATTTTTTTAAAAAACCCTGAAAGTAAGGGTTTTTGCCAAAGCAGAGTCAGAGTCGACTTGGTGGAATAAACTGGAAACAGACCTTGGAGGACCTTCTGGCTGGTGCAGGCTGGGCAAGAAAGGTCCCGTGGGCAGAAGCATGCCTCCCTGTGAAGGCGAATACAGTGGTGGGGCTCGGTGGCCTCTGGGCAGTGTGAAGTTCTGCTGCCTGGGGAGTGTGGGAAATTTGAATATTCTGTTGGGATTCCTGCTGGAAATCAAAGTGAAATTCTTATCCTCAGGACCTTGGGGCCAGGTCCTGACCTTCTAGACTTGGCCTGAGCCTCAGGCCTGCCCCTTCCCTGGCCCTCTTCTGTTTCTTCCTCTTCTCTCCATGAGGTGGAAAGCAGGAGGCAGGACTTCTGAGAACTGAGGGGGGCTGAGGTCTCAGGTGATGAGGGAGAAGCCTCTGTGTTCAAGGAATGCAACTTTCGGTTGTGGGAAAATGCTTCCCTCCTCCCCTCAGTGACAGATCCCTTAGTGTGTTTTGCACTAAGAGAGAGCTCGCTCGCTCTCACTCTCTCACCTTCCTCCTCTCACCCCCTTTTTGATCAGCAAAATCATATCTAATCACCATGCTGCACCATCGCAAGACTACGTTCTCATTTCCCAGAGAACTTTCAGTCTCTCCTTTCACACCTGCAACTTCTCTGGGCTCCACCAACTTGCCCCAAGTTGCTCAGACACCACCAGCAACTTCCCTCTTCTAGTAAGTTCCCTGCGGGGCATGATCCTCTCTGTCTTGGCGTACAGCACCACTGCCATGCCCTCCTGAGGCCTGTCAGAAGTAAGTAGACCTAGTCATTGTATTAAATTAGGTTTCATGGGCTGCCAGAAAGAACTTTAATTCCCTTCCTGAATCTGCAGGAAAACTATTCACACGACTACAACTTACACTCTGGAACATGAATCCAGTTGACTCATGTGCCAAAAAAGGCTGTGCTCTCACACACGAGTCGGGGGCCTTCCCTGGCTTTATCCCTATGTTACCAGCTGGCTACATCTATTTGTGACATTTCTAAACTGTCTAAAGAAGATGATCCAGGTAAATAAATGATCTTGGGGAATTTCGTCCAGATATTCACGATGTAACTGCCTTGTAAACCCAAGAACTTATAGAGATGCATGGAATATACTAGAACTTTTCCTCCACATTCACGTGCACTGACACTAAGTACATGTGAAGAGGAAACTCAAAACTGTATCAATTAGCAACCCGATTCAAAATGTGGATTAAAAAGAAAATGTTCATTGGAAACTAGGTCCACAATAGCACCCCAGCTACTGTCTTCCTATGAATATCGTCCCAACACAGTGGAGGGTAGGGGACAGGAAACAGAAAGGCATACAGTTCCCAGATGCTTGCAACGTTTCTCTACAGGCATGTTTGCTAATAAACCTAAAGATATAAATATGCAGGTATTACACAAAATATGTTGTGATTCGAAACTGGCTGAGCACTTGGGAGGCAGAGCCATTGTGTGTCCCAACAGTGTTACCAGCGGGCACATCCCAAGACCTGTGGATTGGAACCTAGAAACTTCTTAGCAAGGCCGGGCACAGTGGCTCATGCCTGTAATCCCAGTACTTTGGGAGGCTGATGTGGGCGGATCACTTGAGGTCAGGACTTTGAGACCAGCATGGCCTCAAACCTGAGGCCAGTGAAACCCTGTCCCTACTAAAAATATGAAAATTAGCTGGGCGTAGTGGCGGGCACCTGTAATCCCAGCTACTCAGGAGGCTGAGGCAGGAGAATCACTTGAACCTGGGAGGCAGAGATTGCAGTGAGCCAAGATCATGCCACTGCACTCCACTCCAGGCTACAAGAGCAAGACTCCATCTTAAAAAAAAAAAAAGGATGAAACTTCTTAGCAAAAGGAAAGATCCCTCCCTTCGGCCTCTGCATCATAGGTGTCATGGGTGCTTATAAAGGAGGCTTTTTTTTTTTTTTTGAGATGCAGTCTCGCTCTGTTGCCCAGGCTGGAGTGCAGTGGTACCATCTCAGTTCACTGCAACCTCTACCTCCCGGGTTCAAGCAATTCTCCTGCCTCAGCCTCTGGAACTACAGGCATGCGCCACCAAGCCCAGCTAATTGTTGTATTTTTGTAGAGATGGGGTTTCACCACGTTGGCTAGGCTGATCTCAAACTCCTGACCTCAGGTGATCCTATGAAGGAGGCATTATTATTTCCCTGTAGCAAGTAGGGAAACTGAGGCTTGAAGAGGTGAAGTGATTTTCCTAAGCTCACATGGTTACATGAAACCAGATTTCAAATCCAGCTCTTCTGTGACCTCCTGGGTCCTTTTTCTTGACTGCCCTTCCACCTAACCCTACCCCCGACCACTGCTGGGCCCTTTGAACATTCTTTATGTGGAAGACATTTTCCTGTAAACAAAATAATTATTGAAAAGATGTTGTATCTTTCAGCAGATGAAGCACCAATGGTTTTATTAAGGAAGAGGAAGCCAAACCTGAGGAGATTTACAGTCAGCCCAGAATTGCACAGCCCGAGAGCGTCTGAGGACAGAAGCAGACAGAAACCGCAGTGGCCTGCAAAGGTGCCAGCTCCCAGGAGAGCAGGTAAGGCCCCGGGGCTCCCGCACCTTTGTCCTTGGAGAGGAGGACTGACTTTTGCTGTTAACCCAGTGAATTCTTTATGGTTTTTAGAGACTTGTACTTTTAAGTAAATGAGGGGCATGTACCTTAAAATGAAACAGCTTTAAAAGCAAATTGTATGATCCTAGGGTTTTGGGGGTTTTTTTCCTCCAGGAGAGGCTGCTGGGAAAAGGGGAAGGTGGGGTGGGGAGGGTATCTTTTTCTCTCCCATAACTCCATGAGTGTGAGCGGTTTTGAGTGGACATCAGCTGTACAGCTGCTCCAGAGGGCATTTGGGTGGTGGATGGCATTTGGGTGGTGGAGGGCGTCTGGGTGGTGGAGGGCGTCTGGGTGGTGGACGGCGTCTGGGTGGTGGAGGGCGTCTGGGTGGTGGACGGCGTCTGGGTGGTGGAGGGCGTCTGGGTGGTGGAGGGCGTCTGGGTGGTGGACGGCGTCTGGGTGGTGGAGGGCGTTTGGGTGGTGGAGGGCAGGGGTTGAGGAAGGCAGAGAAGCGAATCTACAGCTCTAGGGCATGTCCCACCTCACAATTGTTCCCACTTACTTCCTGGGATGGGGAGGATGTGTGTCTGTGGGTGACAGGCTGCTCACCTCCCACAGAGATCTTCTCCCCTCTGACCCAGAACACTGAACTCAGCAAGATCACAATGTGTGAGAAATACACAACATTGGAACGAATCTATGCTTTATTCCCAAACACTGGTTTGGTGTATCACCCCCTTGGGACTCATGGAAAGCAACACCTCACAGTCAACCTGGCCATGGACCCATTCTTTCTCTTAGAAAACCACTGAGCATCACATTATGTCATGACCAATGAACACAGTTCCCTTTGTTTTATTTTTTATTGTATTTTTTTAATCGTATTTGTTTATTTTGAGGCACAGTCTCCCTCTGTTACCCAGGCTGGAGTGCAGTGGCACCATCTTGACTCACTGCAACCTCCACCTCCCGGGTTCAAGCGATTCTTCTGCCTCAGCCTCCCGAGTAGCTGGAATTACAGACATGCACCACCACGCCCGGCCTTTTTTTTGTGTGTGTATGTTTTTGTATTTTTAGTGGAGACGGGGTTTCTCTATGTTGGTCAGGCTGGTCTTGAACTCTTGACCTCAGGTGATCCGCCCGCCTCAGCCTCCCAAAGTGCGGGGATTACAGGCATGAGCTACCGCACCCAGCAAGAACTATCTCTTGATAAGAGAACCTTGGGTTATAAATTCAAATGCCTTCAGGGAGCAGGTGGATATAGCAGGACAGATGCGTAACGGGTTATGGAGCCTGTGGTAAGCTACAATATACATGTTCCACCTAAAGGTAATAAACTCATTGTTCAAATACTGAGCCATGGCCAGGCATGATGGGTCATGCCTATAATCCCAGCACTTTGGGAGGCCAAGGTGGGAGGATTGCTTGAAGCCAGAGGTTCGAGACCAGCCTGGGCAACAAAGCAAGACTCCGTCTCTAGAAAAAAAGTTTAAAATTAGCTAGGTGTGGTGGCATGTACCTGTAGTCCCAGCTACTCAGGAGGCTGAGGCAGGAGGATCGTTTGAACCTACAACTGTACTCCAGCCTGGGTGACAGAGCAAGACCCTCTTTCTAAAATAAATAAAAAAGAAAGAAAGAAGAAAAGAGGCTGAGCCAAAGCACAATTGCAGGATGAAAACAGCCCTGGGGTCTTGAGTATGCAACCTACCCCTGAATTCCAGAACAATAGCAACGATCATCCGAGTTTGGGATTATGGGGGATTTTTATTTTCTTCTTTATCCTCTTCAATAGTTTCCAAATTTTCTCCAATGATCATAAACCACTTTTATAACCAGAGCGAACCAAGTTAAAAGTGTACGGCTCTTGGAATGTAGGAAACTATTGGTCAAGCACACCAAGAAGTCGAGACCAAAAGCATAGTCTCAGGGCAGACAGATGCTTGTTCTGGTTTCATTCTGTTGCCCTAGAACTCCTGGAGATGGCAGGCACTTCACTCACAGCTGGAGCCCAGGGCCTCAGAGAAGCATTTGCAGCATCTGCAGGGCCTGGTCTATGAATAGCACGTCCCTGGCATACCAATGTGCCTGTCTATTCCCAGCCCTAGAGCTCCTGAAATCTGCTCTCTATTTGATAGACATAAAAAAAAAAATAGGGTTAAAATAGCATAAATTGAGAATGGCACAGTCTGCCACCTTTAGGGGAAACACACACACACACACACACACACACACACACACACACACACACACACACACTGCAGAGAAGCTCTGACTGAATTTTTAAAGAGGAAGACCATTGTGGTGACAAGGCAAGGGTGAAGATGCTCCCCCTGCCTGTTTCAGGAATCTGCAGGAGCCGCAGCACCGCACATATCCTGGGACTTCTCCTGCCCCTCAGGCCAGCATCACCCCGTGACAACTCAGTGGCCTCTATGAGATGAGCTTAATGGCTCCCGTTGAGCTTCCAGTTTCTGTTTTTCAAAAGCGGCCCTTGCTGATTCCTTTGCCCATTGGGTGTTTTCCCTCACGGGGGTGGGTCATGTGTGTTCAGGGAATGACCGGAAGTTTCCGGTTCCAGCACTGTGAGCGCACCTCTGAAGCCCTCTACCAAATTCAAAACAAAAAGTCACCAGCCAGAGCCCGCACTGCCAACTCCTCTAGATCCCTTTTCTATTTTATTGATTTATGTATTTATGTATTTATTTATTTTTTAGACGGAGTCTTCACTCTGTTGCCCAGGCTGGAGTGCAGTGGTACGATCTGGGCTCACTGCAACCTCTGCCTCCCGGGTTCAAGCGATTCTCCTGTCTCAGCCTCCCAAATAGCTGGGATTACAGGTGCCCACCACCGCGCCCGGCTAATTTTTGTAGTTTTAGTAGAGATGGGGTTTCACCATGTTGTCCAAGCTGGTCTTGAACTCCTGACCTTAAGAGATCTGCCTACCTCGGCCTTTCAAAGTGCTGGGATTACAGGTGTGAGCCACCACCCCCAGCCCCCTATTCTATTTTAAAAAATGATCAGGAGAATTCAGTTGCTTACGTAGAGGCATTTGTTCCCCAAAATGGGGTTCGGCCCAGTCTGGGATGGCCTCGCCACCAGCTCCAGTGCTGTAGTTCCACAGCCAGATGCTCAAAGCATCCTTGAATTGCTGCTGCATCTCTAACTGGGGTTTATAAAACCCAGGAGGGGCCTGAGAGGAGAGCTTAGCTGATTTCTACAAGAGCTGATGAGTCAAGATTCATACTGCGTTGCTGAGTGTCCCAAGCAGTTAACAATAAAAGAAGCTGCCCAAGTGCTAGGACATTAGAGACTCACACTGGTGCCACCCTGTGAGCAGCCTCAATTAAAGTGAGCCAGCACTGACTTGGCCCTTGGCGGTGCCCGATGCTCTGAGGATTTGCATTTCACCAGCCCGAGCTGTTATCAACACAGACCTTCCAGGGCCCATGGAGTCCCGTCCACTCTATAGGGTGAACCGCTTTAGAAATGGAATGATAAAAAGAGCAGCATCTCATCAGATCCCACACAATAGCAGAGAGGAGAACAAAGCTCGGGGGAGGCCGATGTCAGGAGGGAATAAAGGTAAGTGACATCAGAGAAGTACTGTCAGTTTCCTTCTCACATTGAGAGGGTAAAAGACCCTCAACAGCACACACACACTATGACGAATTCAATGGATTTTCGTTTTCACAAGGAAATTGGAAGGCCTGGCAGTTTTTTAAGGGCTAACAGGGTAGTAGTTAAGAACACAAACCCTAGTATCGAGCAGGCGTGGGTTCAAATGTTCATTCCATCACTTACTAGAAATAGGATCTTGGGCTAGTTATGTGACTGCTCTAAGCCTTGGTACCCTCAGTTTTAATGTTGTATGATTGTGTTACCTATTTCACAGGGTTGTGAGGCTTAAGTGTGTGTGTGTGAGAGAGAGAGAGAGAGACAGTTAGCATGGTTCTGACCAGTTTAGTGATTCCGTGTAGGAATTTATAGTAGGGATTCTAGGGTAGCTAGAAGTTACATAATTGACCTGGGGAAAGAGAAGATATGATTTCATGAGAGATTTATAATTTTTATTTTCACCAAATAGTAAACATGACCAAAATCCCCAGTGTGCCCGAGTGCCAACTCCTATAGCCTTCCTCCTGATCTGCCAAGACATATTGTACTTCTCTTAAGTTCTTGTAAAGCTGCGTGGGAAGCAGGGTGTCATAAACGTACGTTGAATAAATTTGGATGAGAAAGGACTGGTGGTTGTTGTAGAAGTCATTGCCAGAGTGCTGGTTTCCCCTTTCAGCACGTATGGAACAAAAGCCAGTATTTAGCATGAGGTTTGCCCATCGTCAGTCCTGACTGGCTGGGGTTGGGCCAGTCTTCTGGGACCTTCTGCTGAAAGAATCTGTATCCTCAGGGTCACCCCATTTCCCTAGGACCACAGGTGTACAAAAGAGAATGTGGGGCAGTAAAATGAAGCGTGCTGGGCTGTGCTCCTCTTGTACCTCCAGCCATTTTGACCATGCCTATTTTCTTCTCTAGGTCTTGTTTGTTGCATTTAAAGGGCAATTTTGTGCTTAGTACTAGAGGCCTTTCATCCATGGGCCCTTTTACTGGAATAATAAATGTGTCTTTTCTCAATGCAGATCAAGTAGTTCAACAAGGAGACCTGATGTGTAACACTAAGCTGAAGAAGCCAACTCGAGAGAGAAGAAACTTGGTCCCATCGTCACAGCCAGTGATTGAGAACCCCCCTGATAGACGCAAAAAAGGAGACCCGAGTGCTCCTTCCCAGAGTGAGCTGCATCCAGCCCTGCCCCAGGCCTTCCAAGGAACAAATAGTCCTCAAGTATTGAGTGAGTTCTTGGGGCCACCACTCACACCCACCACCATAGGAGGGCCAAGAAGGGCATCATTTAGGTTCCGAGATGAAGACTTTTATTCCATTTTGTCACTGAACAGCGGAAGAGAAAGCGATGACACTGAAGAGGAAAGCCAGGCTGAAGAAGGTCTGTGGGTTGGTATGCATTCACCCCGTTCTCCCTCCCATCACAAAAGAAGTAGATTTGGAGGGACATCGACCCCTCAGGCCAAAAATAACAATTTTGTAGAAAATGCTGAAAATTGCAGAGGTCATTCTTCAAGAAGAAGTGAGCCCAGACATGGCTCATTGAGAATAAGGAATGCAATGGAGCCAGCAACAGAATGGCCTTCTGCTGGGCAAAAGTTGTCCCAAGACTCCAGACTGCCTGATAGGGAATCTGCTAAAGAGAAGGACAGAGGTGGCAGTGAACATGCGAAAAAGAGCCCCCTTTCATGGGATACCAAATACGAGCCCAGACAAGAGGATGGTGTCAATGCTGAAAATGCATGGAGTGACTGTATTTCTGTGGAGCATAGGCCTGGCACCCATGATTCTGAAGGATACTGGCAAGACTATTTAAGCAGTTCTCAAAATTCTCTTGACTACTTTCTTTCTGGCAGACCAACATCTCCAGGATCATCAGTGAATTCATCCTATAACTCTGCTGTATCATTCATGCATTCTGCTCTGGGAGATGATATTCCGGTAGACTTGTCAATGTCATCGACTTCAATTCACAGCTCAGACTCAGAGGGAAACTCAAGGTTTCATGTTTGCCGACCACTGTCTCCCATTAGAAATAGGAATCCATCTGCCAGTGCCGAAAACCACAATTACTTCCCAGTAAACAGTGCACACGAATTTGCTGTCAGGGAAGCAGAAGATATTACTTTAACAAGTCAACCTCAGGGGGCTCCATTATATACAGATCTCTTACTAAATCCACAGGGCAGTTTGTCCTTAGTGGATTCTTCCAACTCCTCTCCATCAAGAATAAACTCAGAAGGCTATTTTCGTGTGTCTGAGTCCCTGCAAGAAAATATACCATTTACTTTCTTTGCAGTGTCTGATTTCCCAAATCAAAATGAGAATGGGAACAGGATGGCAGCCTTTGGTTTCACAGATGAAAAGGAAACCAGTAAGATAAAGGCAGACCCTGAGAAACTCAAGAAATTGCAAGAAAGGTGAGGACTTTTCATAATTATATGTTTTTTCCACTTTCCCAAGGCCGAAATTAGCATTGCTTTCATTAGAGAGCCATGGGAATTTTAAGTCACAAATGGGTCCTTTGTTGACATTTTAGTGGTTGCTTATTTTGAGAAAATTGTCTCTGTTTTGTTGCTCTTAAAAACATATGTATTTATAAAGAAAATCTGGTGTTCCTGATCAGTTTCTTCCATATTCTCGAAGTGTTTTTTTCCTTGAATACCACACCTTCAAGGTAAGTTTGCTGGGTATAAGGACCTCCGACTGCTTCACAGGGCTTGTTCTTCTCTCCAGCAATGAAGAACCAAGATTTTTTAGGAAAAGGTTGCTATCTCCCTAGAGAATGAACCATTCAGCACTTGAAGTTCGCAGCTCTCCCTTACCGGACTTACCCCAAATCCAACCAACAGTTCTAGAATTCGAACCTTGCGAACTAAAAGACCGTTCTCAGTTACCATAGTTACCTCGGTTCTCTGAAGGGCCACGCTGGGGTAACCGCTGCTTGTATTTTATGTGCTCTTTCTCATGCATGAGAGAGAAATAAGATCTTTTTTGAATTGCCCTTTTCTTTGATCTTTCCTTTTTTGTGAGATGACGTGGGGATATTTCACAGCTATGAAATGTGATACTTTGTAAAGCCATCATTAAACACCATGTCAGGATTCTACCATTTCATTTATGATAGGTGTTTACCATGCTCTGATCTTGGCTTACTGATCTGGAAACTGATTCTTGGAATCTGAGCCCTCTTTGTGTATATTAGCATGACTCATGTGGGCCGTGAATTAGAAATGTAAAAACCGGAGGAAAATGGAACATAGAATGCATACATATTCCTATTAATAAATATCATTTATCCAACTCCAGTAATGAAGTAACTTTCTAGTTAGTAGTACCTTTTCTTTTCCACATTAAGCTACCAGAAGACTGACCCACGGTTAAGGGGCCAGAGATCTTACACCCACCAATCATCACCTCCCCAGAAATACAGCTTCAGACCTACTTGTCAGAAGTCTAAATTTCTACCATCCCAAAGTTATGCCCTTGAGCTAAAAATAATTTCTTTGAAAATGCATTCACTTCCAGGCACAGTCTTGCATTAAACAGCTACTATTCATGTACCTATTAATAGTTTATCCAGACACTCTCTTTTTTCTGTATATAATAAACTTTATGCTTTTCCTATTATTTCAAATTTGTTCCTTTTGGGAAATATTAAAAATGCAGACTGAAAAGAAAAATCACCTGTAACCCTATCATCCAAAGACAAACAATTAAAAATATTGTTTCTAGTCTTTTATCTGCATATAAATGCAATTTTTAGTATCTGTTCATATTGTTTTATAATATGCCTTATTTTAATATTTAATCCTATTTCTCAATCACACTTTTTAAAAATTTTCCCTCAGTTAGCTATCTTAATACATATGAATTAATACCTAACATAGGTACACTTCAGAGAATTTTTAAAACACACACATCACAAACCCAGACATCCCTGTGCCCACCATCCAGCTAACAAACAGAACATTCCTCACACACTGGAGCCCTCCTGAGCCCCTCACCCACCCTATCTTCTCATCATGCCACCTTCAGCTCCCCACACCCACCCTGACCATTCCTTTTGTGTTTCGTTGTGTTGTGTTTTGGGGTTTTTTGCTTTGAGCTTTTACCATATGTTTAGATGTTTTTTGTTTTTTTTCTTGAGACAGAGTCTGACTCTGTCTCCCAGGCTGGAGTGCAGTGGCATGATCTAGACTCACTGCAACCTCCACCTCTCTGGTTCAAGCATTTCTCATGCCTCAGCCTCCCATGTAGCTGGGATTACAGGTGCGCACCACCACGCCCAGCTAATTTTTGTATTTTTAAGTAGAGGCAGGGTTTCACCATGTTGGCCAGGCTCGTCTCAAACTCTTGATCTCAAGCAGTCCACCCTCCTTGGCCTCCCAAAGTCCTGGATTACAGGCATAAGCCACTGCGCCCAGCCAGTTTTTCTAAACAATATGTTGTATATATTTATGAACTCTGAGGAAGTGTTTGACTCTGTAGAAATAGAATCTCTATTCTTTTGTGACTTGCTTTTTCCTCTTACATCCTTAGTGAGATGCATCCTTATTGATATATTTGGCTTTAGTTTATTCTTTTCACACTACAAGGTATTCTGTCATATGGACATACCACAATTTAGCCATTCTGTCAATGGACATTCGGGTCCTTTATTGTTTTCTGCAAATGATGCTGCATGAACCTTTTTTTTTTTTTTTTTTTGAGACAAGAGTCTCGCTCTGTTGCCCAGGCTGGAGTGCAGTGGCATGATCTCTGCTCACTGCAAGCTCTGCCTCCTGGGTTCACGCCATTCTCCTGCCTCAGCCTCCCAAGTAGCTGGGACTACAGGTGTCTGCCACCATGCCTGGATAATTTTTTTTTTTTGTATGTTTAGTAGAGATGGGGTTTCATCATGTTAGCCAGGATGGTCTCGATCTCCTGACCTCGTGATCCGCCCGCCTCGGCCTCCCAAAGTGCTGGGATTACAGGCGTGAGCCACCGCACCCAGCCTGCATGAACATTCTTGTAAATGTCTCCTGGCTCATGTGGAAGAGTTCTCTGGGATCTTGCCTAGGAGTGGAAAAGCTGGGCTGGTGGGCTAGTGGGCTCGTGGTGAACACATTTTCCACTGTACTAAATAATGCCAATTTAGTGTCAAACCAGTCATGTCTAATGTCTTTGTTTTTTTTTTTTTTTTTTTTTTGAGACGGAGTCCCGCTCTGTCGCCCAGGCTGGAGTGCAGTGGCCAGATCTCAGCTCACTGCAAGCTCCGCCTCCCGGGTTCACGCCCGTTCTCCTGCCTCAGCCTCCCGAGTAGCTGGGACTACAGGCGCCCGCCACCTCGCCCGGCTAGTTTTTTGTATTTTTTAGTAGAGACGGGGTTTCACCATATTAGCCAGGATGGTCTCGATCTCCTGACCTCGTGATCCGCCCGTCTCGGCCTCCCAAAGTGCTGGGATTACAGGCTTGAGCCACCGCGCCCGGCCAAGTCATGTCTAATGTTATACATCTTTGACAACATTCGTATTGATTGGCTTTTCAAATTTGCCAGTCTGATGGGAATAAAATGATATTGTAGCTTTAGTTTGCATTTTCATTTTCATGACTTAATGAAGTTAGGCATTTTATATGCTCTTTTAAATATTAAATGACCATTTGTGTTTTCCATTCTGTGAAATATTAAAGTCTTCATTTTTTTGTAGAGATGGGGTCTCATTATGTTGCCCAGGCTGGTCTCAAACTTTTGGCCTCAAGCAATCCTCCCACCTCAGCATCCCAAAGTGCTGGGATTACAAGCGTGAGCCACTTTGCCTAGCCAAATATCTATGTCTTTTGCTCATTTCTCTTTTAGAGTATTTATATATATATTTTAAATACCTTTATATCTTTGGCATATTAATTTAATCTTTCAACAGTTGTGTGTTGGAAATATCTTTTCCCAATTTGTAGTTTGTCTTTTTCTTTATGATGTCTTTTTTTTTTTGAAGACTGAGTCTCGCTCTATCGCCCAGGCTGAAGTGCAGTAGCGTGATCTTAGTTCACTGCAACCTCTGCCTCCCGGGTTCAAGTGATTCTCCTGCCTCAGCCTCCCCAGTAGCTGGGATTACAGGCATGTGCCACCACACCCAGCTAATTTTTGCATTTTTGTTAGAGGCGGGGTTTCAGCATGTTGGCCAGGCTGGTCTCGAACTCCTGACCTCAAGCGATCAGCCCACCTCGTCCCCTCAAAGTGCTGGAATTACAGGCATGAACCACTGTGCCCGGCCCCATCTTCTTTTTGCAATTTGTATCTTGCAATTTGTATCTTGTTGTCTTGTTTAAGAAATCCTTCTCTGAACCTGGTATCATTATGCTATTCTTCCTATTTTCTTGTAAAGTTTCTAGCTTTGTATTTAGGACTTAATGTGAAATGGATTTGGACTTAAATGTGAAGTGGTTCTTAATATGTGATGTGAAGTAAGCTTTATTTTTTCCCCCTTATGAATATGAAATATGCCAGTGTTTGGGATATTTCCCTGTTGATCCGCACAGCCACCTCTCCTTTGGAACATGCCTCAACAGGCCCCGGTTTCAGGGCTCTCTATTCTGTTCGATTGGTCTTTCGTTGTCTTTCCCTAACCTAATACCATTCCGTCTTAATGCCTGCAGCTTTTATAACTTTTGATATGTGATGATGTAAGCCTCCTTCCCTACTTTTTTAAAGAGTCCTTGACTGTACACTTAAGAATCTACTTGTTGGGATTTTTATTGGAATTGCATTTAATCTATAGAATATTCTGGGAGAATTGACATCTTTGCGATATTGACTTTTTCTTTGATAAACATGGAATATCTCTACTTTTGTTTGTGTCTTCTTTAATGTCTTTCAGTATAGTTTTGCGGTTTTATTCATAAAAGTCATTTATCCCTTGGTTCTTTTATTTGTTGTTGTTTGCTATTGAAACAGTATTTTAAATTCTAATTTTAACTCTTTGTTGCTAAGATGTAGAAATCCAACTGACTGTATGTTTTCTCTGTATTTTTGCCAAAATACAAAATAATTTCAACTGTGAAAAATATTAGTAGTTTGATTTCTTTCTTTCCAAACCCTATGCTTTTTAATCCTTTTCTCATCTTACAGTGTTACGTCAATTTTTTTGAGGGCTGTTTGTATTAAATGTGTCTATTATGATTTGATCAGTCTCCTTTTTTGAGTACATCCATAATTAATTACTTAGAAAAACTTCCTAAATGTGTAACTGCTGATGAAAGGAATGCAGAGTCTTCAGGTTCTTAATGTGTACTGTCAAATCGTGCTTCAGGAAAGTTCTACCGTTAGCAATTTCACCACCACCTTATAAGGGTCCTCTTTCTACATGCCCTTTCCAGTTCCAGGAATTTCTATGCTTTTTAATGTTTGTCATTAGGAATTCTTGGCTGGGCACAGTGGCTC